TTTATACAACTTTTCAGTAAAATCAGACGTTTTGATTGGTTGGCTTTCGTGTGTTATCAAAGTATAGATACACGGATTACGTCAAAACTAATTGTTTGTTGTATAAAACAGATAGATCTCATTTTTCCGTGCGTGTGTACTCTAATAGATACACAGATGACGTCAAAATGTAGTGAGAACAAAAAAGTACGCACGAGACGCAGTCGAGTGCGTGACTGTTGTTCTCACTACATTTTGACGTCATCTGTGTATCTATTAGAGTACACACGCACGGAAAAATGAGATCTATCTGTTTTATACAACAAACAATTAGTTTTGACGTAATCCGTGTATCTATACTTTGATAACACACGAAAGCCAACCAATCAAAACGTCTGATTTTACTGAAAAGTTGTATAAACCCTAATAGTAAATAGTGTAATATTCTTCCCCGGGTATTGTTATTCATGAGATAGAGATAAGGAATGGGATAGCGATGGCCTGGGACACGCCTAGGCCAAAGCGAGAAGTAAAAACTTGTGGTAAGGCAATTCAAACCCGGCTTCCTTGGGTGGGTGGGTGGGATGAAGACGATGTTCTTTCGCGGCTGCCTCGAGTAGAGTGACACAAAGGAGACCTTGGAATACCTTTTATTATCTCATTTGCATAATCCCCAGGGAATCAAATTAACAATGCAAATTGAGTTTGCATAGAAGTAATTGTTTCACAGACGAATGAAAATGACTTTAGAGGTTGAACCTTCTTTCGCAGGCAATCGTGTACAATAGGCCATTTGCATGATGGCGTAACTTTACTACAACTGTCAACTACCAGAAAGCCTTGCGCATTTTCTTTGTTATTCAGATTTTTAATCCCCTTAGCGATTAGTAAAACAATTGGCACTAATTGCATTACAAAAGAAAGWKGRCAAARYATTCYGGTAGTTGTAGTAAATGACGCCATAATGCAAATCGCCTATTGCAAGCTTATAATTTGCAGTCGTCTCGATACGATGCAGTGGCATTGTGACTTTTAAAGACCGCACAGCACCTTTGGGAAATTGCAGACAATTTAAATATACTTAAATATTATATAATACAGCTGTTTGCAATAATTCTGACCCCCTCTGCCATATTTCATATATATCAAACTGACCTTAAATATTATGGGATATCATGACTGATATATTTTTTGAGTTGCCCAGAATGAGTACTTTCTAAAAAAAATATCAGCAATGGTATCCCATAATTTTTAAGGCTATTTTGATATATATGAATATTAGTGTAGAATTATTGCAAACAGCTGTATGTATAAATATTTCTTTACAAAACATTTTTACCAAATTCAATGCTTTTTCTAAAAATAATGTAAATGTGTTGAAAAGTGAATATGCGAATGTCAAGTCGCA